AATTCCTATAAATATTTTTAGTTCATTTAAATGTTATACTTAAGTATATTATCTGTAAACATAGCCTTATTCTATAAAGACATGAGGCATTCTGAAATGCTTATTTTGGTGCTTCAGTAAAAGTTTAAAATAATAGTCATTGTTTGTAGCTGCTGTCTTTATTAAATAAAACATGACATGTAGAACAAGTTGTTTTTTTTTCTCTCCTTTCTGTGAATTATTTAAATTTTCTCTCAACCGTTATTGTGACATTTAACACCTGAGATGGTGTAAACCAAAAAAATAAAAACGACAATAAAAATGTGATATGCAAGCAGCCAGATACAGGGTGGAGGGTGGCTATTTTAAACTAATTTTTTCAAAGCATTACCTGATTGACTGACTTCATCATCATTAAGGCTAGAACTGTTTTGGCTACTTAAGTCACTTTGATATGATTTGCCTGAGGAATTTCGACAGTTGCACTCTTAAATAATCTTCTAAAATACCTGCTATGTGCCTTTGTGGCAAATTCAAGATCTTAATGTCATCAAAGTAAAATTTTAAACCATTAGCTTTGAAAAATTTTTTGTGTGAAAGAAAAATGAGAATTTAATTTGCAGAAGTGTGAATGAAAGAAATCCAGGAAATAATTGTATGCAAATTAAAAGAAAAAATGCTACATAGGTCTAAAAGAATTATTATTGAGATAGAAAATTTGACATAAAATTTATTAGTAACATAAAGAAGCTTCAAGCATTTTGTTTAAAAAGTTAGTGCAGACTGTTTTGAATCAAAAAATGAATGATCAAGGCCTGACTATACAAGTAAAAAACATTGTGTTACAAACACAGTCTTAAAAATGTTGGTAACTTTAACCAATAAATATAAATAAATTATTGGAAAACAATAATAAAGCAATAAAATAGTTAAAATAACTAAATTGTAACTGTTTTTAAAAAAACAACACACACAACTATATACTGAGATGTTACATTATCTTGTGAATAAATATTTTTAACAGATTATATTAGTTCTTTTTTAATTATTTTTGTATGTAAAGAATTTGTGCTTTTTTTTCTGTAGCACACTTGATAATTTCCCAGGTATACACCAGATACAACTTTTTATTAATTTTTTAGTGAACTTTATTTGAATAATCTTTCCTCAAATCAAATAGTAATTCTTTGTTCGTTTAATCATATACTTTGTACAGATATTAATTGCATTTATCAGATAAATGCTTTTAAACAAAATTTAAAAAAAAAAAAAAAAGATAACAAGACCTATTGTTTGTTTTTTATTACCTCGACTGTTCTAAGTGAGCTTTCGCCACTCCCAGAGAAGCTCATGCTTACAGGTACAACTTGTCGGTCTGTTAAAAATTTAGTGGTATTAATTACTGATGAAATATCTCTGCTAAATATGGTGGAAAAGGAGTGATTGATACCACATGCTTCACACAGCAGATCTCATTCATTTTTTTTTCTCTTTAAGACAAAGGATCACCGAAATTCAATGGTCTTGTACAAGTTTAATAATTTTATGAGTGAGAAAATAAAGAAAATAGAAACTTTTACAAATTATAATGTAAATTTGTTCATACCATGGGTATTTTATGTCACATCTTGAAAACATTAAAATTTTTATTCAATGTATTTTTGTCCAAAAAACCAGACAGCGTATATTTAATTAGTGACCACACTTTGAATTTATTTTTTGAATTTATTGAATTTCGTTGCTCACAAGTTTAGTAGTTATTAGTTAAGACAAATACACTGTTAAATAAAATCACATGCTTTTAGTCATAGAAATGATAAAATAAGATAAAGGACAAGATTTCTTTTTCACAATTTTAAGTAAAAATTATGAATGTGTAAAATTTAAATGTAATGATTTTTTTAGCATGAGTTAATTTTTTTCAAGTACTATAAACCCAAGACTGAATGCAAGGTAATGTGTCCTGTGTTAAAACCTTGCAAAATATTTTTGGGAAATGTTCCTGTCATCTGAAATTGATGTCCTTTGTTCAGGTTGATAAAAATCAAAACAACCTTTATCCTATGGATTATCCTATAAATAACCCATTACATCTCCATTGAATGAAAGAATTTTAAAATATGCCCTTATTCAAACAATTTTAATCAGTTGTAGAGAATTGTTTTAAAGCCCATGTTAATCCTTCTGAAACACTAGGATAATGACTGTAAGAATGGTATGTTTTTATCTTGTAATATTGGTAATAAATATTTAGATATAACCTGCACGAAATTGGACCAATAATCTTAAATCTTAAACTTTTCTTCTATTTTAGAAAAGCATGCAAATATAAAGATAAAGTTAAGACATAATCATGCATAACTATGCTTATTTTATAGCAGCCATCAAGAAGCCACTATACTTACTAGAAGATTAAAAATCTAGAAGAATTATTATGTACTTTTGTATTAAGCCACTGGCTTAAATGAATTAAAATAAATATAGCAACAGAAATGTTACTTCTAATTTTATGATGTGCAATATTTCAGTGCAAAGTGAAATAACTGGGTGCAGTGTGTGATACAGAAAATACATTTATGTCGATTTTCTACAAAAACTATAAATATTAGTGATGTTAAGTAAAAGTATATAGACTGTGAGGCAGCTAATATGTATGCCTACTTAATTCTCTTAAAAGCAAATTATGAACTAGATGAAGGTATTCATGACTTTATTCAATTCCAATTGGTTTAACAAAAGAAAATAGGCTCACTGAAGACAAAACTCATTTTTTTTAAAGCAGAGAGTTAAGACAATTATTTTTTAAAGTGTTGGTTAATATAGTTCAACTAGTGCATTAGTGTTTCCCCAAAATTGTATGGTCCAATGTTAAGTTTTAATAGTATAAATATTCTTACCTTTTCCCAACCGTCCTTTGCGTTCAATCAAAACTTTTGTCAGGTTCATTGCATCCATTTGAAGCAAAAAGGCAGCTAAAAATTAAGATATTGATATAAATTTTCATTCAAAACATAATTATTTTAATTCATATATTTATTACAACATTTTTATGGCTTAACATGTATAATTCTCTGTTGTCTTATATTTAAAATTACTTGAGATAATCGATCTATATGAGTCATCTGCTCACCTTGCTGTACATATGTTTCATTTTTTATAGAGACACAATCGTTTTCGCTTTCCACAAACTCAACATTTCCAAGGTGAAGGACAGCTGCCAAAATAGTATTCACATCTAGGATTTCCTATTTTAAAAGAAAAAAGTCTAAGTGCCAAAGTTTTTAAAGCTACAACTATGCATTTTTTTTTCTAGTAAATTTCATAAAACAGTAGACCAGTGAAGCCTATGAAATGCAAGGAGCAATTAAGTCAAAATCAAGACATGAAATAAACCGCCATACAATAACTTTTGATTCATCATCATCATCATCATCATCGCCTGTCGTCCCGTCTGGGGCATAGGCCACAAACAAAGGCTCTCCAGGCATCCCGGTCTTGGGCAAGTCTCTCCAACTGTCCCCAGTTGTGCCCACTCTTTTTGATGTCTGCCTCCAGTTCCCTTCTCCAAGTTGTTTTGGGTATTTCAGCAGCAACTTGGACAGTTTTTCCAGTTTCGAACATGGTCCTTACGTTCCAAACTTTTGATTACCATGCTCATTAACTTAATGTATTTATAAAAATTAATATGTTTTAAAAAAAATAACTTACATCTGCTGTTAGTTTAATGAGTTGGAAGACATCTTGCTGACTCTGGTAAATGTGCTTGTAAAGGTCCTTCTCTTTGCCATTGAGAGCATAAAATTCTCCAGTAATTCTGATAAAAGTTTTTAAAAGACACATTTAAATTCTATCTATTATAAACCACATAGTTTAATAATTTTGAATAACCTAAATTTTATTTAACATACCAGCTCATTTAGTTTTCATTTAAAGCAACTATTAGTAATATGAATGATTTCTTAGGAATGTTCCACAGCAGGTCGTTCTTTTACTTACAGAGGATGCACCCAAATATATTGTATGGTCTATCAGTAAAATTCTGATTTATTTAAGATACAAAAAGGTTTGTACTCTTTTTTTTAAAATTAATAATTATTCATTTTCAGGAGGATCTTGATTAAGCAAATAGTTCATGCAATTAATTAATAAAAAGTAAGAGGTTAAATTAGTGTTTGGACAGCTATGATGTGTCAACAGTGGTATGAGTAGCCAAATTTTCTTTCAAAAGTTTTCTAGCCTTAAGGTGAAGTCAACTTGCATTTAGCCAAGTTACCATTTTTCATACTGAAATTTCTACTCTTGGGTCAATGTATCATTTAATCCTTTACTATGGTCCAGCGTCCAGTCTGAATTTATAATTTTACTAGAATCTCATCTATCTCATTTTTCTCATGTTACCTGAATATATCTCTTCTATTAATGTATAAACTATCCGGCAAATCATCAGGTGCACCGACCAGCAGTGCATAAAAGGCATGGAAGGTTCTCTCCTTTGGGTTGTGGTGCGCTATCCTTGATCTCTCGATCATGTAGTCCTTGACTCTAGCTGGAAGATTGTGAGAGGGCAAGGGGTGATTTCATGTCATGAAAAACCAAAGAATGAACTCAAGAAAATATTTCATTTAATTATAATGTTAACGCTGTAATTTTAAGTACATTATATTACCAACAGTTATTCAATGGCAGTCTCTAGTTATCTCTTTATTAAACTTATGGCACTTTCTTTTCATAGAGCCCTGGCAAAAGCTCCATGTTTTGACTAGATATTTTATGGGGACTTGGACAAAAAAAATACACAACTTTTGGGGAAAAAAAAAAAAAAAAAATAGAGATGGGAGGAGGTATCTTCATGGACTTTATGCAAATATTTATTTTTACAACAATTTTTTTTAAAAAAATGTTACTTTTTATGCTGACAGCTGGAGTATTAATTTAGACCTACAGATGTAATAGTTACAAGAGTGAATCTTGGATGAAGCATGCTATACAAAAAAACAACAAACAATTTTAATATGATATAACTACTTTAGACACAGTGCGACATAGTTCATAATTATTTTATTGTACTCACCACTTTCAATTTTTCCTTCTTTGTTGAAACTTAGTGCTGGAAACTTAGCAAATCTACTTGAGTTGTTGTTTAAGATTGTCTTAGCGTTACCAAATGCCTCAAGTAGTGGATTTATCTATAGATTCAAAAGATTTAAGTAAGTATTGAGAACTAAAAACGCTAGTTTTATGTAATCAATCACATCTAAAAAAATGTTTGTACTTAATTCTAGTTATAAGGATAGTAATTTAAGTATTTACATTGATTCATATTTTCATTTGAATAAGTCCTGAAAATTAAACAAGTTAATAGACAGTTAAATTAAAGCCTATTGAAATAATGGTAATGTTGCAAGCCTCTCAATCAACCTTTCAGTAAAGAATTAGAGAGTTTGAATTTGTTCAAAATTAACTGTTAACATAAACATGGCAGTAGTCTTTCCTATTATATTCAAGCTGGATGCATAAAATCAAATCGTAAATGTTTGTATTTTTATATAATTTAGCATGTTATTTATGCCTAAAAAAAGATGCCTAAATCTTAAAACATCACACTGACACAGATTGAGGAAACTACAAAGACAAGAATGACAAGGGCTGTGATTGGGGACACAGGTTTCAAGATTTCACCTTGATAATTTTGTCCTGCAATGTGTCATACTCAGTCCCACCAATGTGCATCAAATGTTGCACCATGAGTTTTGTTGCCTCTGTTTTACCTGCACCAGATTCACCACTGACCAAAATAACCTGAGAAAGTCAGATCGAAATAGCTCATAATAAAATTCCATAATCAACAAAAAATATAAGAACCACTACTGATCTTTTGTTATTGTTAGCTAAAATTAAATAATATAACAAACAGCCAGGCAGCAAATTTAACATGAGTATGGTAATCTTCTCAATGATAAAAAAATAATGGTTATATTATATTTAAGTCTTTTATTTAAATAGTTAGAAAATTCTAATTAGTATATTATTACTGCATTTTGACAGGCAAAATCTGTCCTACATTGGCATTAGTAATTAGTTTTTAGGTCACCTTTTAGTATTTAGTTTGAGAACCTACCTGGTCTTGTTCTAAGTCCCTGATACCAGAATAGGCTCTGGCAGATATGGCATACAGGTGAGGTGTTTGTGAGATTTGACTATATCTGTACTCATCATAATACTAAAAATATAAAAAAATTCATGTATAATAATGCATATAACATTATTAAATGTAGGCTTAGAGTGTGTGTGTTTAAAGAAATTATGGAAAAAAAGCTACCATTGTACCATACTTTGAGTTTTCCCTGTCATCTTTTCTCATTCATTAGGATAATGATAATGCAAAAATATATTTTAAAAAAGAATTTATTTGAGATTGGTTTTACACTGCGTATTATTATGATTATAATGTTTTATTTAATAGGGGGAAACAATTTGTCCTTGAATACAAATATAATTATTATAATCACGGTCATGGTATCATGAAAGGATTTACTCAGCTTACTGGGAAAAATATACATTACTATACATATAGAAATAGTATGTAGTTATAAATAAAAGGAGGTGCCTAAGCCTAATTCAACGTTATTTTAATTAAAACAATACAATTTTATCACAAAGTAAATGAATGGTGACATCCAAGTTCTACTAAGCTTCTCAACTAACTTTTTTGTATAAATTTTATTTTTATATTATTTTTAAAAATTTTTGTTATTTATAATAAAAAAAATTAATTAATTAAAATTTTTATTTTTTTATTTTTATCATTCTATAACTCAATTCCTCTAAAACTACTACTAAGACTACTACTATGAGAATCATGCCATGCATCTAAATATAAATCATCTTCACTATCAAAAGAAATATTATAAAACAATTCCAAAGCTTTTTCAACTTTTAATCGTCTAGGAAACTTACCTACTTGGGCCTATGGTAGCCATAGCAACAGTAAAAAAAAAAAAAAACCCAAAGAAAATCGTCAAAATAATGCTTCAAATGACAACAAATCAACCTTAGTTTTGCTTGTAAACAATGAAGTACCACTCTTCTATGTAAAAGTCTTATTTAAAAATAGCTCTTAAAAAGTTTAACCAAGAAATAGCAAAGAAACAAACATGATATTGAAACACGAACAGCGCGTTGGTCCGTGCTTTTGAGAACGGCGGAAGAACGCAGTATGCGTTGTTCCGCATCGAAAGAGTTAAGGCATTATTTCTTAGAAATTAATAGCGTCTTTCCAACTGAAATGTATGTAATTGACATCTGAAAAGTTCAGGAACATTTTAAATAATAAGTAAAAAATGGTAAAGTAAATTTACACTGCATGTAAAAAATGAAATTATCATTGGTCCAAGTCAGGGGCAGTAATGCATGGACCAATAGCAGTCCTTAATTAGCTAGTTAACAAAGACATTTAAGACTTTGGTTGCATTCTATTAATATCAAAATTTATCCATGAAGTAGTTTTTGTTGCTAAGGAAAGTGTGTGCAGACAAATTGGATAGTTAGTTAATAAGGAGGGGAAAACCTGAAATTAAACAAAGAAGAAGAAGACCTTTTGCAAACACATCCATTGTTTTGCCCTTTTTCTATTTTCCCTTTCCTTTGTATTATTTTCTTCCCTTTACTAAACCCAATGGTATCCCCACCTGGAATCCTTGAATAGGGGTGGCCAACCCATGCATATTGCCTGCCAGCTCTATCACAAATAATTTTTTGTTGGGTTCAATTAGTGATTATTTTCATTCTTGTCAAAAATGCACATGTTAAATGTATACAAAGCAATTGTTTGTAACTGTATGCAACCTTTTGATGCATCTGCACCTCCTTTGAACAACCTTT